CCTACATAAGAGAGGAAAAAGATTGGAATACAATCTGACCACATGATCGTGAGTTTGGAGCACACCGCTCATTTAGCAATGGCATGAGCAATCGTATTATGACGTCGATTGGTATGTTGACATAGTCCACAGTCGACAGATTCCAAAAGTGTCAGGATGTTCGAGAAAATACCTTCAAAAGGGTGATTTGGATCATTCGCAATCAATCCTTGCACTATTTCAAGACAATTTGTTGTGACGTGTTCGATCTTCACTCCCATTGTAGAAGCGAACCGTAACCCAAATTGAATAGACAAAGCCTCTCCCCAAGTTGGGGAGAATGAACCTGACATATGGGAATAAAAAATCACTACTACCAGGCCTTCTGAATTTTTATCCAGCCTCCCAAGCCAATTTCAGATTCTCGTACAGCTGCATCACATTGAAGATAACACCCATTTTCATTCCCATATGTATAATGTTGATTTGTTGATTTATGGGAAGGACTTGTAAATGTTGTTGAGGAAAACTGGGATGTTTGGATATAGAAATTTTTCGTTCTGTTTGGATTTTTTTTTAGTTAATTTTGGAAAAACGTGTATGGTTCAGTTGTTAGTGAGATTTTAAATTTAACATTCAAAATAAAATAATTAAAGTTGATTTGATCTAAAAGTATGAGAGAGATGATGTGAAGTGATAATTAGTTAAATTACGTGAGTTGATTGATAGTTAATTATTGATATAATATGTAAGAATGATTGGTTGATATTATTTAAATATTTTGATAATATTGAAGATCATGATGTTGTGTTAAAGTTAAGTTAGATTTGAGTTAAAAAATGTAATTGGTTAAAATAATTAGATTTTTTTGAGATATTTATATCCAAGCATAAAATTTCCCAAATTCTCGTGCCAGATTAATTGGGAAATCCATTCATTTCATTTTATTATTTTTGACAAAAATGCACTTGTATGGTCATACTTTTGTTTATATTATTTTTGTAGTATGATATTTTTTAATGAAAGCACACACACACACACACACATCTACTACTTAAATTGGTGTTATGAGTTTCTCGTTTTGGTTTATGCACTACGACACAATAATCAATGTATCAGACTCTTAAGTGCGACATAAGTGAAGATTTTACACTCAATGATGTAATTCTCTGCTTTTGAGCTATGAGAGCATATTAGAAGCTAATGCTCACCATAAGGGAACATGACTTATGTAATGGGAACATGACCACCA